GGCATTCCTCTTACAGGAACACCTGCGCGCCAAGAGTACAGAGATGGCAAAAAACACAAAGCACAGGCAAAGAACATTCCTGGGAGGTGATTTTTGTCTAGGTGTGTCTCACTCACCTGAATTCATAAAAGCAACAGGACACCAAATACAGTAACTGTTGCCACGGAACTTGCCTATGAACATACTAGGGACATAGAGTAACAGAAAAAAGAAAACATCTCTCACCCACCAGCAGCCTGTGGTTGCACTAATGAAACTATGGAAGCCTAAAAGACTCTTTGGGGGTTTTATGTGATCCTCACTTAGGGGACTCTTACCTGTGAGAAAAGAGTGAATAATTGTTTTTATATTAGGAGGCTGACGCCTCTATCTGCCTCAGCTCTGTCTCACACACAGTCACCATAGTCATCTCAGCAGAGCTGATCTCTTCGCCTACTGACACTGACAACATGCAGGTGTCAATGTTGCAAAAACCGAGGCCGTGAAAGCAGACATAAACATTGTGTTCATGTGTGCACACATTAACAGACACACACACACAGACAGCTTTGGCACTACAGTCAGGCGAGATGAGCTGCTGTGTTGCCTCAGTCAAACCAGGCTATTAACATTAACTCACCCATGAATGACTGGCCTGCTAGTCCATTTACCTCAGAACGTGTGTGTGTAACCGCTTGACCAGTTTAAGGCAGATGATGGATGAAGATGCAAGCTAAAAAAAGTTCACCAAGGTAAAATACAGTTTGGAATTTTAATTACAGAGCCAGCCAGTGCTCTTATCTTTCTGACATGTCTCCATGCAATACAGTAATGTACCAGTCATGCATGCTTCAAGGTTGGTTGTGTAATTGCTCAAGGTGTTGCCAATGTATTGATTTACAAGGTAGTAGTGTGTGTCTGTGTGCACAAAAACACACAAATCCACTTACGAGGTCAAGAACCTGTTATAAGAGCTGCTGCACTCTCATAACCTGCGGGATTCAAGATATGACCTGGGGGTTATCAGGTCTCTGGTTAACTGGAAAATCAGTTTCATGGTACATTTGATTAATGTATACATCAGTGTATGAATGATACCCAACTTAGCCAAACACATTACCTGCAGTAATCCTAACCCTAAGAGCTAATAGTTCAGATGTGGCCAGTAGCCAGCGTTACTATAATACACTGGCTCCCAACCAATGTGACCAATAAAACAAAACATGAGACCAATTGTGACCACTTCAACCAAAGACATCAAACTTCTCTTCCCTGTTTTATCTGATTAAAGTCTGAAATTATACCACAATAAGCAACAGGAAAGGAAAACTAACATTATTTTCAATGGTAGTAATATGCTGATTTCTGTACTGTTTTACTGTCCCATGACCCCTTAGAACTTACTTGCAGCGCTTTCAGGAATCCCAGTACCCAGATTGGGAAGGATAGAATACAATGCAAATCTGACAATACGACAAATATGAATATACTGTACACGACTGGAGGAATATTACGGTGGTACCACCAGGGTTATAGTTGTACCATAATGTATACAAATATGCAAAGCCATAGATATAGTATTAATAATAATACTAATGTGTGGTCATTGTAGTGACTTTTCTGTAGTATTCATTACTTTATGTTGTACTCTTTGAATACATGCAACCTTCAAGAATATCGTGTGCATATACAAAAAACTGTTTATGTCCTATAGCCCATATGGGACCCCACCCCCTTTACTGTCCACATGTCTGCTGGCTGCATCCACAAGTGCAGGCTGCGCCAACAGCACATATGAAGGCAGTGAAGGCACAGGCAGCATGCTAAAATGCGCCTGAAGAATGCGCATTAAAGAACCCCGACCCGCCACCCCCGTGAAATCCAGCTGAGCCCAGCTAACTTGACACACATCTGGAGGGCCCACAGCATCAGTCTATATGCAATACCCCAGTCCTACTTACCACAGAGGAATGTGAAGCACCACCAGCCGTACTGCCGATTCCCTTTAAAACAACGGGAGCGTGTGGGACTCCGGACGGTGAGCTGTGGGTTTTAACGACGCTGAAATACGGCACCATTAAGTTGAGCACTCGGTAACGAATGACAGCAACCAGCCACAGATTATTCTGAAGAGTCTCTGTGTAAATCTGTCACTCTGTCAATTCAACCCCCCTCTCTCTCTCTCTCTCTCTCTTTCTCTCCTGCAATTTCAGCTGCGTCAAGTAAACATAGGTAATAGGGTAACACAGGTTTTACTTCCAAAATAAAAGCGTAGGATATTGATATTATTTCAGTGATTTGAACGTGATACTACTCATAAAAGTTTTTTTTTCTTTTTTTACATAATATCTAACAGTTACATAGAAACACCTCCAGTTAAGTTTGAACACATTTTCCAAGTGCAATTAAAACAAAAAAATCTTATTTTACTAGCCTATTCTATTTATCTATTTACTTAAGTAGCCCAATAACAGCTAAAAGAAAAAAATAATCCTAATTATAAAATTATGGATAACACAACACTTAAATGTTTAATATATATAGTTTCAATGTAGACAGTAGCCTCAATATACTGTGTTCTTTTTAAAATCCTTGAAAGCACCGAGATCAACTTCACCTGTTACACCTAATTATGGTATAAAATGGGCGCTGATGTATTTTTATTTTGAAGGAATTATCTTGCGGTTTCCGGTGCTGTTACGCCTGAACATTGCTGTTTCATCAATGCGCATCGCTACCATTCATGTCTGACGTCACAACCACGCTCAGACAAAAGCGTGTTTATCAGGCCCGTGATAATAACACAAAATACACTTTCTATTAGACCTATTTCTCTCGACCTCACCCGTGTTCACAATTTAATACGCTTATAAGAAACGTAGCAGAGTTAAAGATGGGACTGATGTTTATTATATGCCAACACTTTACGAACAATGGGCTCATGTTGTTTCCTCCCCATTTAAAACAGGAAGGCCTGCGGGCTTCCTTCACCACTCACTCACCCATCCTCAGCCACACTTCTCAGGCTGCCAGGTGGTGGCGAGAAGGGAGGTGTTGGCGTTGACTGTATGTCTCTATTTCCTGCACTAAACCGCGAGTGTCGTTATGTAATATTTACAAGCTCCTCTATGAGATTTGAAGTAGAACCTGTTTGGATGATGACAGGATCTCCCGGCGTGTTGGATCACTGCGGCCAGGGCTGCAGGCTTCTACCACAACGAGGTTCTCATGATCACCTGTGTCATGTCAAGGCCAGGTAGTGGGTTTGAATGACACCAGCTCATTTAATAATTATTAACTTCCTTCCATCACCACAACCTGACGGTATACAACTTTCTCAGAGTAATTACTCTTTGACTGCTTTACACACATCTATGTAGCTGCATTAGGAAACAGTACCGCCGAGATTTTCTGCTTAAGTAAATAAAAATAAAGATAAAGGGTTCAGCCCCAATGCTAGCTGAGACTGCCATCTAGTGGGTGGTTGAGAAAGTGGGGTATCAGCACAAACTATTTTTTCCAATCATAAGATTACACGAATTTCTCATATCAGTTTTATGGATTCTAAATCAACTGTTAACCTGTTCTCAGTTCAGAAACATCCCCATTCAACTGTCAAGGAAAAGGACACTGCAGTTTCACATTAAAAGACAATGCACATTCGACACCTTTGTAATACTTCATATTGGCACAGCTATGTAAATAGAGAGTAACTGGGCAGGTTGGTCTAGGCAGATGAAACAAGCACTTTTGGTCCACCAGAGAGCTGGCTCAAGAACTGTGATCCTGGATGAGACACAAGCATCTTCAGACTAAATTCAGCACTCTGCATGTCATCAATTCTATTATCACAACCAAAAAGGCACAAGAGCAGCTACAACAGCCATCAGGATCATTTCACTTGACTTTTATTTGGCCAAAAAAATCTTCTACAACAGCATTAACTAAAGGATGTACCTCCTGTCTAGCAGAAGACATCTCAGCTGACAAAGTCACGTGCTCAGTTCAGGACTATATTCTCCAACACTCTTCATATTCAGATTTAGATTTATTTTTCTATATAACACATTGCATTTCCCAGTCCATAAAGTTTATTCTTACTAAAAATGGCACCAGAGAGGGGAAATCTGGGGCTCTAACATGTTCTGCCAAATGGACAAAGAAAAGAGGAGAAGACACAGATGAACAACTGAACAGAAGATTTATTTTGTGAAAACTGTTCACTTCTTTGCTGCCTCCTTCTGGAGCTTCTTCACCTCATGCCTGATGATCTTGTTCCTCTGCAGAAATAAAAAGAATGTGCTCATTAAAACATTGACTACTGTACGATTACCAAAGTTTACACTTACACTGATGAACCTTCTCAGAGGGTCAGCAGCTGGTCAATCAAGCTGCAGCTAGGAAAATCTATCACTTTTCCTTTGTCTGCTACAGACCGAGTATTGACAACAGCACTAACTCTTATTAATGCTTGTTAAAGGGCACATTTAAATCAAAGTGATCCGAGATTAAAATTTTTTTTAGCTGCATCTGCAAAGAGGCCACACTCAACACCGCTGTATCCAACACCAGCATAACAACCCTAACCCTAACCCTGCCTCACAGAGCAAGCTGGACAATTCAGGGTATATGTGGACTAGAGCTATGGCAATGCTTTGTTTACATATTCAGCCGTGTTAATAATTTACAATAAAAAATAACCCTGCATCATCACACTGATGAGAATTTTTTACTTTTCCTTTAGGTGTGCAGTCATTTTTTCGGAGTCTGTCTGAGCTACACAGACAGGACTGTGCTTCAGTTACTTGGCTGGCCTTCTGGTGTTGTATCAATAAAACCAGCCGGAAGCGCTGATATGTGTTTCTGCTGCACTTACCATCCTCTTGGCCTTCATCACCTTGTAGCGGTCAAAGTCAGACATTTTGGCCCTCTGCAAAGACAACAGAATAAATAGATCAGTGACCTAACCTGAGTGACTCACATCTTAAAAACAGGAGTCATACTCGACTTGGTCATTTTGTTTAGTGAGTTTATAGAATCATCTAGCACCTAAA